CAGCCGCTGAAGGAGCTATCCCCTCGAGCGCTCCCATTAGTCGGCCCCTGAATCTGATGATCCTGTGAGGGTGGTACCATCTCGTGGGGTACCGCCTGCGAAACCGGCGGACATGCCTCTGAGCCGCTGATGACGATCGACATCGGCGCAGCCGCGCCGGATGATATGTCTCCGATAAGGAAGACATCGCTATTGAGTTGGAGCAAGGACGGGCGACAACGATTTATCCTCCGATATGCTGCCGCCGGCAGGGACAGACTCGATGGCGCCAGTCGTGGAATACACTGCGCAATCTGTGCCTGTGGCACTGACAGGATTCAAGATTCCTGAGGTATTTGGTTGCAACGCCCTGGATGACACGACATATGGGCGCTTGATTCGCAAAGCCCTTCTTCCTCCGGATAATGTGGATAATGAGCAGCGTAAGCACTCCCGAAAGCTTCTGGAAATATTCAGCGCGAAACAATAGAAGGCTGTTACAAGCGGTACCACCGTTCTCATAAGTGGCCAAGAGCAGCAGAGCGCAGACAGAATCATGCGTCCTGAGTCTTGCGCCGATTGTCAGACGGTGGAGAACGCAATGCGTGGATTCCTATGCGATGAATGTTGCAATCGATCAATTGAAGCGTCTAGTGCGTCGTGCTCTCGCCTCACGATTGCAGAGGCACAGAGTACCACCAAGATCCCATTCCGAGCAGTCAGGCCAGAGAATACCCTCAAGCCGGACACGCTAAGGATGTTGAGCGGGGTGTCCCAGCTTTCGCGTATCACGATTCCAGCACGATTCTGACAATCCCCGCGATTGTTCGGCTCATGGAAAGTGAAGGTGCCTACCTCAGGGCAAACTCGACTCTTCCGGCGGGAAGATTCTCTTGCAGACTCCCTTGGTGGTTGACGCTGGGAATCCCGAGCAGAGTGTTCTCATTTGCATCCAAAAGATTGCCAGAAGGGATCATAATGCCCAGTTCGAGTTCTTCTACTCATCGATAAATGATCCTGGTCAGCCGACAATTGTAGGCATCCGAGCGATTTACGGATCTGGCCCAGACAGCTTGCAAGAGGTTCCGAAATCTCATGGGATCTGATAGCGGGTCCTTGACAGCCCTAGCGCAAGACAGAATTACGGGAGCGGGGGCCAACAAGAGAAGGGTGAATGGGTGCGAGAAGGATCACCCATCATAGGGATGGACCTGCGTGTCGACACAAGAGTTCATGGGCTACATGAGCGACGGCCGCATCATCCCTCCGAAGGGCTCCCTGTTTACGATGCTGCTGCCGTATCCACCGGGTTCCGATAAGAAGCACAACGCATGGGCCCAGGCCTATATCCGGTGGAGGCAGAAGCCAGGAAGGGAAACGCTGAATCCCGAGGCTCAACAGGCATCGTTCCTTGAAGAAGTGGCTGTCTTCGAACGGCATGATTGCGTTCGCAGCGGACCTGCACATGTGTGCACGATTTCTGAACCGGGTTAATTTGGTTCCACGGCTGCGGGTATTGCGCGATCAATGGGCACTTCATGGACAGTGGTTCAACGTGTACAATGGGCCATTCAAGTATACCGCTGGTCCTATGTACTGGCTTGGGCCTGATTTGTCTGAGAGCGAACGTCGGCCCGATCTGGAGATGCCCTGGAAGCGATGTCCTTCACGTGGGGTTCTGTACTGTACCCGTGTGGTCTGTTGTCAACAATGTACCAAACCAATCAGCCGATCCATATGGTGTCATTCTGCATCCCGATCTCACGGAGTGGATGACGCAAGAGATCCGCGAGCAAAGAGAGCGGCAATTCATATCCACAGGTACAAGAGGCTGCGCATGTTCCCGAACCTTCCTGCGCCGCCATCTTTGGCGGAGGAGCGCCGGAAAACGGCATTCTTTGGCGTGCCTCCGCCTCCGATAAAGTGTACGGCTGTCTCATTATCTCAGCAGGAGATCGAGCTGTTCCGAAAGAACGTGCGCGGCACTGTACAAGGAGCGATCCGCTTGACAGGTTGAAAGCTTAGTCGCCGGCATTTCCGGGAGAGACAGGAGGCCACTCCGATTGTCAAGCACTACGGCTCTTTGTTCTTTGAACTGCCGAGAGAAGCCACTATGCTACTACGCGCAGTGGTCGATGCACTGTCGGGAAGCATATCGTGAATGCTTGCGGCAATGATTTATGCATCCGCACTATGTCCCGTGCGGGAATACGCCAACCGAAATCGATGATGACAGGAAAGTGCAGAAACAGATAGACGATTCAGTGTTGACGATGAGAAGCAACATGCGGCTCAATTGCGAACCCCGCACAATGGATGTGTTCCGTAATGCGATCGTCAACGAGGAGAAGCTTACCCGATGCCTACCTTCGCGTGGACACCGAAGTCCTCTCATTGCACCTTGCGAAGATCACGTCAACGATGACATACGGAATACGCGCAAAATGTGAGCCGGGATGCATTGGCGTTGATAAAGTGGAAGAGATCGAGGGCACAGTTGCCAGTAACGAGAAAGATAAAATTGGGAAAACCCTCGACCCACTCGGGCCAGCTCCCATTCGCCATCTTCCCGAAGATGGGTTCATTCTCGAAGATGTAGCCTTCGTTGAGACCGAGGGTGAGAGCAGTGCCGAGATGAAAGCGCGAATGAGCACTCCGAACCGATCATTCAGAATGTCCTCAATATGGAAGTCAGGATTGAGGCCAAGTTTGTTGAGGAAGTCGATAAAGTCGCTGGTAGACTGCCGCGACCATCGAAGGGCCATCCACGGAGCGTTCGCCCCGAACGGGATGTCTTCCATGCTCTCGATGAAGAGATGATCAACCCTCCAGAGGCTCCTGCAGCTCCTGTGAGGTCTGCAGTGAAGCCGAGAGGTTGGCCTCCCCAGCGAAGGGAGCGACAGGATGTTCCGGTCCCGCTCGACGACGACGACATGGATCTCGATGATCTTGACGCGCAGGCACGATCGACGGGAAGTGATGCGCCGAGATCACGTCATCGTACACCGACAGGTGGGCGAGAGAGTGATTTTCCTCCTCCCCCTTCGGAGGAACCGCCTCCTTCTATCCGAGCGAATCGGCAGCGTGCCGCTTTCGTAGTACCTCATACTGATGGACAGGTGCTATCGGCTACTGGGCGTTCCCACTACGCTGATCAACAGAAGCTGCCTCGTGTTCTTCGCATGAAGACAACAATCGATGATCCCAACCTAGGCCCCACGACCATTGGTCAATTCATCCGGCTGGCCAACGATGACGGCCAGCCGCCTGTCGTTCAGACTTCTGCAGTGGCCACGCTCATCAAGCTCAACGCAGATCCTAGAAATCCATTGCATTTGGAAGCTGCGGGAATTGAGCCGATGGTTGCAGCCACGCCTCGCAGACCCGGACGTGACCAGCTATCGATGAAGGCACAGGGTCGTGCGGCGTCTCCCGATTCTTCTAGCACCTGCACTGAAGCGATTAACCCAGAATACGGGAGTGCTGTGCGATCAGCATCACAGCACCCCAAGAAGGCCCCGCGTACGGAGCCTTGGCGTCCAGAGCTCGGTGCCAAGCCAATGTCGACGGCTGAAGCTGCCGCCAGACATGGTCGATCTCCTGCAACTACATCTGGAGGAGGAGCCATTTGATTTGGCGGGTCCGTCATGGAATCGACATCAGTGGTGATGTATGGTGTCTTGTGATTGCGGATCCGGCTGAGCCACCACGAGCATTATTGACTCGCTTCAGAGTTGATGTTCATGCCGGCTCTGATGGTGAAGCGAGCATCAGATACCATCTCTATCACGTTCCTCGGCAAAGCCTGGTCCCGCCAACTCAACGATTCGTACAGATCTGTCCGGTGCACCTCCGATTCGGTGTCTCGCTACAGTTCTGCCGCTCGCATAGGTTTCGACTGTACAATGTCAATGTGAAGCATAGGCCCAGTCGAGCCTCAAGAATCGACCCATGCCTAATGGTCTCTTCGTTGCCAGCTTTGAAAGTTTCCGGAAGAGGCATGGCTCGATTTACGACCAGGGTTGTGTGACACTTGTAAACTTCGCTTCTCTCAGTCGTGAGCTCGCGTCGAGGGGGTGTGATTTAATTTGTCACTGACTTGCGTACACGTACACCTTGAGTGCTTGCTACGTATAATGCCAACTTTGTCTCACTCGCAGCTTCACTGCTCCAGACATGCCTCGTGCAAGGTCCAGCAAAAGGCCGCTAGTGCGAAGGGTCGCCGTAGCTTTGTCTCTTAGCTGTGCAGTTAGCCTAACGGAACTAGAGTTCTGATTCGATCTCCAGCATTGCTTTGCCTTGCCATTGCTATTGCTTTGCTTGCTGGGTATACGATTGGAGGCGCCCTGCTTTGTCACCATGAGTTAAGTGAATCCCTCTGCTTTCCACACGAAGTACTGCCGAAAGCGTTGCGGCGAAAAAGCCTGGGGCTTATATAAGTTGGGATTACACCCTCCTTGGCTATTTGTGTAGGAGTAGCGAGCTGCAAATCCCATCATCCGAGTCATGAGCGCATACAATTCATTGCGGCCTTGTGGAGGAAGCGATCCGAGGGCCTGTACAGGACATGCTCAGCACCGATCTGACCAATGCTGTTGCTTTGGCTTCTCGTCAGATTTCACGTGGTCAATGTGCGAGGGTTCATGGCCAGAACTCTACCAAGCTCTAATCGTTTACGGACCTCGCTGGTATTGCCGAGTGCGAGTGTCGAATTTTTTTTATCAACAAGCTGGGATGACGGTCCTAGTTTCGGCATGCAGTACGCCCAGCCTCATTGTTTCTGAACGCTCTAGCTTTAGACTTTGGATGTCGCGAGCACGTGCTGCTCCTGTTTCGGGTGCTGTTGTCTTTAGACACAGGCTCAGTCTGCGGCGCCGAACATGTCCGACAGCACAGACCCTCTCGCTGTAGCAGCTCGCCGCAGACAGAGAGGTTGAGCATTTTTGGACGGGTTTTCTTCGAAAGTGCGCATCATGCAATAATTGCATCCCTCGCACATGCTGTGCCCTCGCAACCGACAGGCCATGAACGCTGCTGTGCAACTGCACCTGGGCACAGTCAGCTGCCACTGAAGGCTTGCCAAGACTGCGTTTAAGGGTTGACCGCGCGTGCGGAGCATCGTACGCTAAAGCGACGAGCACGTCTGGCAGCTTCCTGTCGAAATTGAGCCCCTCATGCGTACCGATGGCTGTAAATGCTGAGGTTCATCAACGATCCGGGGGCTTGCAGGCCAAAGGAGCAGATGACAGACAGTGCCCTGGTGGATTTGCACAGCCTCATGCACTCTTTGAAAGCCTTACAGTCAGCACATGCGGAACATGCTTGCAGCCCCTCGCCAATGAAAGCTTCATGCACGGCGGTTGCCGCTGCTTGAAAGTTGTGGAGAAAGCATCGAAGGAGCCATGAGTCTGTGATGGGCATTGGGATTTCGGATTCTGCTCAGCAGCTCGAACTAGTCGACCTCCTGCGGCCAGAATCGAGGTGACTGGTGGCTCCTGGTGAAAGGTATTTCCTCAAAGCAGTCGACAAGCCAGGAGGCCGTTGCAGGGACGAGGGCGGCTCTGAAGAATGTAAATAATCGAGACCGTGACAGCATCAGCACCACCGCTATACGCATGCCATTCCATGCGCATGCTCACGGAGCAATGTGACGGAGTACGCATATGTACGCATTTTTGCCTCACATCTCAGCTCTACCAACAAAGCAAGTATGTGCTAATCATACGCCTGCTCGCCGCTACCCTGAGCAGCGTTTTCACACGGCAGGAGCGGCCGTAATTACTTGCTTCGTGTGGACAGGTCTATCGCCTGTACATGCAGGTGGCTGCTGGATCCTTTGTTGAGCAAGGCAGGGGCACTTTTGGGCAAACGAATGCAATTCCTGTACAGCCATCACGATCGGTCGGGGGAGATAGCATGCCTTGCGGAGTTCTAGTCTTAGTAGTTCCCATTGTCTTTTATTTCCTCTCCCTTTATGTTACAATGTCTGTACATGACCCCCGCATCATGTAACGCCTATATGACACCTATGTAACCCTGACATCAATACGCCACAGAAGTGGAGGCAAGGTGGAGCTGGCTGTGTTGACGCAAACCAGCACGCGTGAACTGAATTATTTGCAGCTCGGCACCCATGGCCTGAGGGTCCTAAGTGAGGACCCTGAAGCCTGAACCCTCAGCACTACATTATGACATTTCAGAGGCACTAGGTCAAGTATAAGTTTAAGCAGCAAGCTTGTGGGTTTGTGCTGTCTTCAGACTTCTCGGCTTCCAAGGCCTTGTGTATGGGAAAGGCTGTGAGATTCATGACCTGACCTCGCGCGCTTTGAATTAGGCTGGCGAGCTGGGGCACGTGTGTATGTTCCACCGACAGTGGGTGCCAGGATCAGTCCTGCCTTGTACCTTGGGCCCAATCCGAGGACTCAGGGATCCAGGGCGAGTGGCATCCCAGCTCCGCCCACCCAGGAGACTTTCACACGGCTCCACGGCGGTTGAGGGCAAAATGGCCACTACTTAGGGCTTCTCTGGGTTGCTGACAGCATCAAAGGTGTTGTGTCCTGGATGGGTTGTAGCTGCATCCGGCCTCTACCGTTACACCTCACACCTCTTCAGGCACACCCTCGCGCTTGAGGGCTTTCAGCTGGAGTAGAGTCTGAGTAGGGTGGCAGCAGCAGCCGGAGTTGATCAAAATGGCTTGGCATGACAGAAACCCCATGTTGTAGGCTAGAAGCAAGAGTTGACGTCATTACTAGCATAGTTACATTGTTGCAATAATTACTTGTCATTCTTTACTATTAGTATCACTATTCGAATTTTTGGGGGTCCCTTTGTGCGAGTACTGTACAGCAATTTCGCCTGCCGAGGCTGTTGTCCTTGACTGACACCTGGGCCAGCCTGACTGGGAAGCGCGGCAACTTGGGGTTTCGGGTTAAGGGTTTACGGCTTTGGGACACAACCCTAAACCCTAAACGTTGATTGTGCGAGTGTGCGAGTCGAAACCACGCTTGCGGGGTTGATGGTTGATTGTAGGCCTGCTTCTCAGTTGCTTTCAGTCAGACTTTACTGGATTCCAATGTTTCTACGTCGTCTGTGGCATGCAAATAGCAAAACCCTAAACCCCCGTAAACCCAAAACCATCCTACCAGGATGTAGGCCTGAAACCTTCAGCCAGAAGCCAAGGATTCTCGACGAGTCCCTGGCCATGGAGCAGCTCCCAGTTTCTTTCCGGCAAGGAATATTTCCCAGGGCTCGCTTCTTTCGTGCGAAACAGCCGCTCTGCCTCCCTGGACCAGTTCATTAGGCAAATAGGGTAGGGAAGACATTCGGTGTTCTTTGTTCTTGGACCGGAATCCGAAGCGTTTGACGTCAACTGGTCTGGAGTTTCAGCAATGTGTAGCCAGCATACGCGTGCAGGCAGCCAGTTGACATGGCAGGGTTGCAGATGCTGTTCACTCAGCATGGGATCTTGGAGCAGCTGAGACTCGTGACGTGGGCCGTGTGGAGAAGCTGAGCACAGACTTCGGCAAAGCACTGCAGTCTCTTCTGCACCTGGCCGGATCATGATTTAAAGTGGCTGTGATCCGATTGGCTTGTTTGTCAGGGCCACGTCCCGGCCCGGCAACAGTCGACCACGTTCCGACAGTACTTTGCGACAGGCTATCTCGGGCATTCATGATCGACGGGAGACAGCCCCAGCGACGTAGGACACGAAGGGTTTAAAACCTTCCTGATGCATTCTCGCAAAGCCTTAAGTCCAAGCGCCCACCTCCCTGGACGCTTTCGCAGTAGCTTCAACTTTGCCAAGGATGGACACTCTCCAAGATGCGAGAGGTTCTGTAGCGCAGCGCCCTGTAGGCGGGTTTCGGGATCTGAGATTGAGACCCCTGATCGCCGCTGTCTGGGCATGTTTGGGCATGGGGAGGGGTTTAGGAAAAAAAGCTGCGGATTCGCTACCCACTCCTTCTAAGCAGTGCATGCCGTACTTGCCGTCCTATCGCCGGAATGCCTTGTATACACAACGCGCCCCTCCTTCCGCTTGGCAGGTCTCCTAGCGGCGGTTGGCGAACAGATCGCCAATATCCATCGGCTCCTTGGCATGGCTCAGGGCACGAGTTGGGATGGCATGCCATGTAGGGACGAAGCTGAGGCTGGCAGGCGAAGCTTACGAAATTGTATTTGGCTATCATGTGGACGAGGCTGGGTACAAGGGTGGTGCTCATCAAGACCTGTGAATGCGAGTGTCGGGTCGGACCTGTGCGGGGGGGCATTCCACTACATTCCTAAGGTTTTAGTTGTGATGCTTGTGGATGAGTTGCCAGGTATTGGAGATGATGGGTGAAACGACGAATAGGTTCCGCAGCACACACAGGGAGCCTCAGCTGATCCAGAATAATCGACACCCGCAGCAACCAGTGTCTCAAACCCGCCTCGCCTGAGCAAAGGACCTTGTGCTTGGAGCTGCTAACACATCCACCTACCCTGCCTTGCGCAGAGTGTCAAGCGTGTGCTTGATACGCGGGCCGCTTGGTGTTTGAAGGTGAGGGATGCATTCAAGGCTGAGTCAAGGGCTGTACTACAAGGCTACAATACAAGGTCCACAGACGGATTTGGATCGGCTTCTGCGAGCGGATGGGATGGAGTTCTGCCGCTAGAAGCCTCGCAGTCATAGTTAGCTCACGATTAAGAACTTTGATCTTGGGTGGCTTCTCATGCTGCCACGTCCTTAGTGGGCACTTGCCCGTGGCGCGCGATAAATAGTGCAACCATGTAACAACTGACAAAGCTCATGCAGCTGTGGCCAGAGCAGGGTAAGGCAAGCTGTCAAAGCAAGCCTTTTGGTGCTCTGAGCTTAGAAAAGGGTTGGCAGCTCTGCCTAGGATGCGCTCCGTCGAGGATGCGTACATGCGACTGGAGGTCGCTTCGGTGGCTGTGGCTGGCGGTTCCCGCAGTGACCAGACTGACAGCGTTTCGAGATGATGTTGGACTCATCTTAGTAGTGCAATATTGGTGCAACATTGCGTTGCTTTCTGGGCGGATTTGGCAGACTTAGGTGAGGTTGACGGCTTGCGGCCGCTCACAACGGAGCTGGGGTTTCGGGAAAATCTTGAGTCAGGGCTTAGTGTGCCCAACGCAAGCTTCGAAAAGGACTGCAGCAGGTCGCCATCAAGGCAGATTGTGTTTATCATGTGCTCAGGCTGACAATCCGCATCAGCTCCACTCAGCTCTTTAGTGCGTGAGTCGTCGTGCCTTACCTTGTGTATGCTGCATCGTATGAGTTACTGCTTTGAGACATGAGCATGCACACGGAAGTGCTCAAACTCAATTTGCTGGTGCGGTGGGCACTGCAGCCCCGCATCAAAGCTGCAAGTGCCCCAAGCTTTTACTAGAAGACTCGCTGCCTCGGGTACAGGAGGCTCTGGCGTTGATGAGCGCGGCGGCCGATTCGCTTATAGAGTGCCTGGAATTCAAGTTGTTTGAGCCACGCAAAGCAATCAGCTATCAAGATTGCACTCTCGCTGCCCCCTGCGTTCTACTTCAGGACTTGCCTTCAAGAGCATGGTCGGAGTGTAAGTCCTTTGCTGTTCTGCAAGCGTTGTGAGCTTGAGCCAGCTCCGACCGTTGCGACCGAGGTACTACGAAGGAACAAGCAGCACGTGCCCGCAACCTGGCTTCAGTTCCGCCCCAATGAACAAAACGACCCCCTCAGAATACATATTCCCCTAAGAAGATGTAGTGGTGCCATGTTGTAGTGTTTGTTATACTGAACGTATCCATGTGTGTTTATGCGCTGAGTGTGGACATGGCACTTAGGGTATGTAGCTCGGTGGTTTGTTTTGGTGGCATGGTCGGCATGGTAGCTATTGGGCTGATGTGTTTCGTGCGACATGGTCCTTCTTGACCTTGTTGACTTTGGCGTGAGGAGGGTTTAGCCACAAGATAAATCATAGTACCATGCAGAAGTATATCAGTATATGGGTTGTTCTTAGTTTGTTGGCCTTGTTTAGGTTTGAACTGCCTAATGTTCATAGCGTCGTTACTATGGGAACCCCCAGAAAGGTGCCCTTAATTTTGAGAAGCCCCATATCCACCGAGAGCGACGTAGCCCTGCAATGGTTGGTGAGGCAGGCAAACTTGACGTCAAAGGACTTCGAAGCCCTCATGCTCGAGGCATCCAATATCTGTGCTGCTCGGCAGTCGCAAGTTGAGTTGGTATTTGGTCAAAAGGTTTGTCATCGAAAGCCTGCTTGAAGAAGCAAGCTTGAGACAAAGGCATAGGTGAAGCAAGCACGCCTGCAGCGAAGAAGCAGCACCAGATCGGTCATCACACGAATTGACAGCATAAGAGTAGAGACTAAAGCACAGTCTCAAAGGGAAGTTGACCGCAGCGCATGCCATTCTGAGAATTGCGCTGTGGCACAATTTTTTTCTGGCCAAGGTTTCAGCCAAGAAGGCATTTGGGCTTCTGATCCGGCGGGATCAAGGGGACCGGCTGGGAGGCCTAGACTTGGACTCTTTCCAGACCGGCCTGAACAATGTGACCGAGTCCCTCGAGAAGATCCTGCTGGGCGGCTTCGCCCCAAAGCTGCCGGCACCATCCAGTGAGGCTGCTTACAAGCTTGTCCTTGACGTGGAGATGGCTGTGAACAGCTTCCGAGAGGCTGCAGCCATTCCCAACCTTCGCACTGCCCAATCAGCAGGAGTCGCTGTGTGCGAAGCGGCAGAGACACTAGCCAAGCGGTACGTGGCAGAGGGTGAGGCGATGGCCGACCAGGGATCCTGGCTCGGAGCAAGGGCTGAGCGGGCAAACTGGCAGAGGGCACTGGCAGCTGAGGCCTTTGGTGCCGCCGCAGCTGAAACACCCGGAGCACTGTCTGAAGCCATCCTGCAGTTTGAGGCTGTGCACGGGCTGCTTTACAATGAAATTATACCGGAGCGACAGGACCTTCTGCAGGTTTGGCAAGAAATCGACGTGGCTTGGGCTTCCTTCACGGTTCAGCTGGAGGGCCAGAGTGTGGCGGCAACTTGTTGGTACTTACAAGGGAGTAGGGAAATGTGAACCTGACATCCTCTCCATATATATATATATACATACATACATATATGTATCCCTTTTGTTCTAGGCAATGTCTTCGGCTCTGAGTGAGTTGGACGTGATACTGGCCTCCGCGGTGCCGATGTTTGGCTTGAAGGATGTCCCAAATCCACCGACAGCCCCTTGGATGTTCGCGGCAATGTACGGTGCCCTGGGTGTGACGCTAACTTTTTGCGGCTGCGCAGGCTGCTACATGTTTCACAGATCGCGCCGCCAGAAGGTGGGTGACCCCAATGCAGGAGGTCCCAACTACGCCTAGATGATGACTTGACACCTCTTGATACCCGAGCCGGTGTTGCAATCGTCAAAGGCACCGCACAGACCACCAAGCAGACCCCCTAAGATCCTCTTGGCAAAGAGACTTTGCAAGGTTGTGGCCTCAGAATTCGAAGACTGCAAAACGAAACGTTTTTAGAGCCGCCTTCCGTATCTGAAAGGGGCCTCCAAGCCCCAAAGGGGCAGGGCAACTCCGATGGACCCCTGGGTTGCAGGCCCAAGCAGCATTTTGAAGTCCAGAGCCATAAATTCGTCTAGTGCCTTGGAAGGCAGTTTGACGCAAGGAGTGTTTTTTGTTAAAGCCTCCAGAATTCAAAAAGACTGCGGACCACACCTTTGGGCATTTTCAAGCGAGACACTAACCTAGCTTGGCACTCAAAACCAAGCTGCACGTTGGTGGCCTGGTTGAATCGGAGGCCTGGCGGCGCGTCCTTGATCACATGGGATTCCGCTGACCTGGCGTTCAGCTCAGCTCAGAAGATGCTCCTAACTTGGCTGACGGTATCGAAGCTTCATCAGCTTGCTCGCTTTTGCATGTTCTTACATTTTGCTGCTCCATTTCTTCAAGGCATCATGAGCTTCTTTGACAACAAGCTGGTTGGCCCTCGAAGTGGGGCGGCCAGGACTACACACGAGGCCGGGTTCAAGTGCTGCCGGGAGCCCGACAGCGCAGTCAGTGTCACCCGTTTTTACAGAAGGGTTGATGTGATCCATACTCTAAACTCCGTAGAGGGAGAATACAGAGGATCGTTTTGGGGACTACTATAGGCTTATCAAGGGGATACTAGGAGTTTAGACCATAGCTGATATGACGTCAAGCTTGACTTGGAACTTCGGCAGCCCACATG